GTTCCCTCTCTCTCTCTCTCTCTCTCTCTCTCTCTCTCTCACACACACACACACACACACACACACACACACACACACACACACACACACATATGCTCGTAGTTTGAAGCGAACAAAGAAACGAAAGCAACAGATATCAATAACAAAGTGGAGTTAACTCGCCGTCAGTCAGCGTCCAACCTTCAGGATGCGGAGCTCAACCTCCGGCACGTAAAAAAGCATAGTGTGTGTTCAGTCTGGGTGTTTCTCTCTCTCTCTCTCTCTCTCTCTCTCTCTTGCGACTGCGTGCATGGCCATGACTAAGCAATGCGGTTTCGGCGGACTTCCACCAACTCATCAGGAGGTTGAACCCCGACAGTCTGCCAGGATGTCGTGTGTGTGTGTGTGTGTGTATCCACATGCCAAGTCAAAGTCGAGCGTGGCAGTGTAGTGTAGAGTAGTAAAGTTGAAGTTGAGCGTATTAGCATAGGATAGGAAAGTAGAAGTCTGTAGTACAGAGTAGAGTAGCATAGGGGTGGGTATTTCCCACGCCGTAAAATTTGCCCATGCCACCACGAAACAGTACATGCCGCCACGAAAAAGTAGTTACATCACGGGCAGCCTGTGCGAACCCGTTTGGCTGAACACAAAACCCCACTGGTAGGTACCACGCCAAGAAACCACCGGTAGGTACCGCAGCCCTCTCCAACAGGCAAATAATCCGGGCCGTCGGGCCCAAGCTACGGGCCAACGGCCTGGATTGATGCGCAATCTTAAGATGTTAAGACCGCATCTATCCAGGTCGTCGGGCTGGGAGGACCCGACGGCCCAGATGGCAGATTTGTTACATGGTTCGGTCGATCTGGGCCGTGGGCCGGTATGACCGACCATGGACCGGATTTCAGATTTGTCACGTTAGCAATTTTAGTAGTGTAGGGATTCAAAGGGTTCTAAAGCTAGGAAGATTTTCCTGCTCGCCCAGTCCTGCCCGACCGGACACCCGGGCGTGATGGCGGGTGGGGGGCCGGTCTGAGGTACGGGGTATCCGGGCGTGCAAAAGAAAAAAGAAAAACAAACCTTTTTTTTTTTTTTTTTGGTTTTCTGCACGCTCCCAGAGGGCGCCAAATCCGGGCTCAATCCAGAGCGGCCTAGCTCAGTTGGTAAGGCCCGCAAGTGGGAGGGCATTCCTGCACCCATCAAGATCATCCCAAATCCCAGCACTTTTTTGTTTTTAGATGTTGCCAGTTGAATAGGGTTGAAGAGGTTGAACCGCCAATGAGCCTTGATTTCATTTTTATTTTATTTTCTATCATTGCCTGAAAATGGATTTCTGACTCTCATCCAAAAGTTGTCAAACCCTGTTCAGACGGTGCAACCTAAACCGTCGCCGCCAGCCTTGGGGGCACATTTTTGATACCCTATTCACGGTTGTGTCGAGTGGCAGCCATGAGGTATCATCCTCAACGGACCCCAGGTATTTCAGTTCTGGGTTGCAAAAGGTAGTGGGCAGTAGTGTATTCTTTTCCACGTTCTAGCTGATGATCCATTCTCATTTTCCACATTTGGTCAGTAAAGGCAGGTCCTTAGACGTTGGCGCTGTTTTGTTCACGCACTCTCTTCGGGGCGTGCACGGTGTTCCGCAGGGACGCGCTGCCCGTTTTTTTGTTTCTTTTAGGGTGTGCATGCTGTTTCTCGGGGAGGTGCTGCTTTTTTTTTTTCCGCCTGAGGGAGATCGAGACCAACATTAGAAACGGGTGTGTGACATTCAAGATTCGAGAACGTCAAGACGCCTAATCTTCAAAGCTGAAGCCCGCATGCGATGACCTATGATATTTCTCGATGGACAGCCCGAAGTGTAGATTGTCACAGATTAAGCATAGCCCACTCAATAGTCAAAGGAAACCTCAGATGTCCAGATGCCCGCAAACAAAGAAGAGCAAAACCATTACGAGGTGCTCACCAGAGCACTGACAGTTCGTTAGAAAAGCAGCTTTAGGGCGCTCCAGGGTGCAAAGATGGAGATCCAGAAGCCAAAAAACAAAGATACAATAAATTGGCGTGCAGTATACCCCCGCATCCCACTTAGCTATAGAGTATTGCTTTAGATAAGGAGTGAAGGACAATACGAGCCACGCCATGTTTGAAAGGACAAACTAGCCTTCTCAGAATCCATTTGGGCATCTGCAAGTCAGGTCAAGATTATGCACTTGTGCATCTCGCTTGTCCAGGGCTAGTTTTGGGCCGGTTATGACTTTGCCCTAGGTTACACAGACGTCCAGGCCGGCCAATATCCCCAGGTTGTCCTAGACAGCTCCCGGACGTCCTGTCTGGCAATTTCAGACAAGTCCAAACGGCCACAAGCAGACATCTTTCATCCCAGGAGGAGAATGATTATTTTGAACCTGGATTGTGCATGCTGATATCAAGGCTAGTTTTTGCATTTCTCCACTCATTGGGCTGGTTACGAACTTATAACATTAGCCCCTGGATGTTGAGCCAGATCAAGTCAAGCAATGACACATCTACGTGAATGCCTCTGCAGCTACTTCACTATAGAGTTCCGCCGTTGATAGAAAGTCCTTATCCCTGGTCTCCTGCAAGATTCTGTTGTACATCTCTAGACAACAAACACAGATGTCAGAGTCGCACCTCATAAGGTGGCAAGTACCTCTCTATGCATACCTGAATAACGCCCATGAGGTCTTCTACGAGCTCCACAGCCAAGTCAACCTGTAAGGCACAGGGAGAAAACGCAAGTGAGGAAGATGTACACCAATTGAGACGGGGGAAGGTAAGCAATCCGGATGGAGACAAACTATAAATGAGGAAATTTATGTATTTCAGCAAGTCCACACAGACTCCACAGCTTTGAATTGATTTAGTTTGGTTTGACTGAATTCATTTTGATCCGTTTGGATGGATTGGGTGGGAATGATAGGTTAATTGGTGATTGATGGATGGATGGGTGGGGTGATAGATGGATAGGATGGGATGGGATGGGATGGGTTGAGACGACATGGATTGACATGGATTGGCATGGGATGGACTGGAATTGGGATGAAATGGGATGGCATTGGAGGGAGGGGGGGAGGGAGGGAGAGAGGGACGCACAGAGAGACGGATGATGGAGGAATTTCAAGGACACATGGACAGATGAAGGGGAGGACGGAGGACGAAGGGATGGATGGATGGATGCATAAAGAGGGTGGGGAGGGAAGGAGGGATGGATCACTTGAAATGATTGAACATATGATGGATGCATAAAGAGGGTGGGGAGGGAAGGAGGGATGGATCAATTGAAATGATTGAACATATGATGCTGGATATTTTGCAACATGCATTGAGAGACCACGCTGCCTTCAGATTTCTAAGCCACTCAGTACTTAGGACTCAAACCCATGCAGATTGTAAATCGGTACCCACGTAACAAGACGTTTTCAGACCGGGAAGGGCATCACACAATGCTTCCATGGCATCGGGAGAATGTCGAGGGGTGCTGCGCAATGGTTGACATGTGCAGGGAGGGAGGGGGACGCACAAGGGGATTTCAAAAATGCTTTATGTAATGGGGTAGACAGGAGGAGTGCACAGGAGCATATCAGAATTCTCAACAGATATGTAAGGCAGAGAAAACTTTTGCGATCATTGACAGAGCATGAGGGTGTATACCAGAGATCGCTGTGAAGGATGGGAGAAACGGAATCTTCATCTTCATCTGGGACGAATGACGAAGGGGAAGCACGCACTTGCCTGTTGCAAGACAATTTCCAAAGTAGCATGCACACGTGCCTTTCCGTGGCAATTTGCCAAGCAGCATGCCTGCTCACTCCTCAGAACTACTTTCAGAAAACATTTTGACATCCTTAACAGCACTTTGTTCCCTCCCCAGTGTAGCAAGGAATTCCCCTTCCATAGCTGACTTTCCCTCCCCACAGTGTTCTGACCACCAAGGAATTCCCCTTCCATAGCTGACTTCTGGTATGGCCAACATGCACCTCCCAAGATACTCTTATTCCCTCCCCACAGTGTTCTGACCACCAAGGAATTCCCCTTCCATAGCTGACTTCTGGTATGGCCAACATGCACCTCCCAAGATACTCTTAAAAGCATGCCAGGATGGCTTCAGTGCCAGGAGTTGCAGTAGGGAGATGAGGAAGGATGGGGAAGGAGAGGAAGGTTGCAGGAAAGTGCCCAAGAGGTTATTGCAAAGGTGAAGGGCAGGGGAAACTGAAGAGTTTTCTAGGCTCAGTGTTTCAGACGGCATGGAAGGAGGGATTGCTGCAAGAAAGGGAGGTGGAGAACGATTTGGAAGGAAGGCAAGTGTGCCGAAAAATGAATGACACTATAATTCCGTGTAGTTCCACAAAGGAAAGAATGCTTACCTTTGCAATTACCAGATACAACCATGGATTAAGGGGCCCAACACATAGATCAACAAGGACAGATGCTGCCATTTCCTGCAAGAAGAACGGAAGGGGTCAGTGACTCATTGCCGGCCAGAATTGGTACGTAACACTCACTAAGTTTCATGGTATGTATCTAACAACCTGCACTGCAAAAGAATCGAAGAAAGCAAGAAGAGAAAGGCAATACACATCGACAAGGATACCTTTAGGGTACGAGTAAGCTTCACACCTCACTCTGCTTTTACTTCTCGCCTATTCAAGTGATGGTCTGTATATGCTGCCATATCTTTAGCGCTAGTTTTAAGCTTAATAGCTTTATTGTATCTTTTTTTTGATGCAGACTTTTTAGCACTCTTTTTTATAGGGTGGGGGAAAAAAAAAGAAAAGACCACTAAGCTTGCAAACTGCCTCAGATGTCACATTTTGTGACTTGCAGCTGCCTCAGAAAAGCACATTGTGGGGTCTATTTTGAGAGTCACTTGTATTTATGACCAGTCAGACCAGAAGAACACAAATTGGGCACAGATGACAAACAGCTCCCTCCTCCGAGCCTGAGAGAACCCATTGTGAAGTCCATTGTGGGGTTGAAACTTGAAAACCCAAAGATTCCTTTTATTACAACCATTGCCACAATTTGCCAGGCTAAGTTATAGTTTTTGAAGGAAGCATATACGCACAGACGAATGGCTCAGTCCTAGTGGTTCCCACACCATAGCCATATTGGGTAGCAAAGTAGGCTAGATGAATGTTTATTCCGCTATACACGACTTTGAACTCAGAGCTTCTTCCAAGTGCTTAAGATTGTCTGATTTCAAAATAACGGTTCATTTGTCGGTTGCAACCTAGGATGCCCAGCCAGGGATCTGCGCAATTCACCCCGGCACGCACCCTCACTGGTCATCCTGGGCAGCTTAAAAGACCTCACTTCCTTTCTCCTTGGAATCGCAACTGGGGCACTTTTGCACCCACCAAGATCAGCCTGAATCCTGGCTCTTATAGATTTCCAACTTTCCACTGTTTCGGGTCCTGGAGGGGTATAAATGGGGTTTGTGGGGGTGCCTCCAAATAGATTAACTGCAATTTTCCAAATGACACAGCATTCCTTTTTCCCCATATTTTTTCGAGTCTGTAATGACCTGGAAAGTCACGGACTGAGAACTCTGCTGAGGTTTCTAAGTATGAGTGTGTGCATGATTGCTGGCCGAAGGAGTTTTAGTGTCCGGTAGCCTTAGGGTCTGGGAGTACCTGTCCAGCAGTCTGAGTCTAGGGCCTGCAGCGAAGGACATCAGACTGCAATGATGTTTCCCTCCGAAAGGAGGAAGGTACCGGTAGCTTGGGAGGCTGAGCGGCCTGGATAGTCACTGCCCAAGGAGGCAGCAGTCCGATATATCTTCCGGAGGAGCACAAAAAGAGCTCCTCTCATTTCACAGTGTGCAAGTTTGACGTCACGCTGCTGGAGCAAGCGCTTGGTGTTCCAACGCTGGGGACTGAGAAGGCGGGCTTGGCCCTTCACGTTGGGTATGGTGGAGAGGTCCAAGGAGGAAGACTGCGGGGAGTAGGAGGAGGAGGAGGAAGAGGTGGGCAAGCAGGAGAGTGAGGACGGTGCTTACCTGGCTATGGTGCTCAGCACCTTCATCCTCTTGGTTGGTGCTGCACCTGGAAGGCCCCAAAAGGGGTTGGCTTCATCAAGGAAGACTCCGGGTAGTGTTAGGCATGGTGGCCTTGTAGGAGGGAGACATTATCTTTGCGTTGTCCTTTGAACATCGGAGCAGGGCTCCGCTAGTCCGCCATAGCGAACTGCTTAGCCAAGTAGGAGGGATGTGTACGAGATGGCTACGGTGGACCTAATGAGTTGCTGGCACTTTCGAACATTGGTTCTGGTTCATTCTTATGTTGTTATTATTATTATTGACAAAAGAAGTTGGGGGAGTTCATGGAGGTTGGAGATTGAGGCGAGCGGATTGGAGAGGGATTTGACATTGTTCATTGCTGGTGTATATCATCATCTTCTTCTTCTTTTATTCTTCTTTCTTCCTCTTCCTCTGTCTGTTTCTCTTTCCGAGTTCTTTCATTTCAGTTGCAATTGAACAGCATTGTCTTTCTTTCATATATTCCACTTCAAGATAGCCAGGATCATAGCAAGTCTTTTCTTTTCTTTTTCTTTTTTTCTTTTTTTCTTTTTTTTTTTTTTAGAGAGAGAGAGAGAGAGAGAGAGAGAGAGAAGTCATTTGCTGAAGACGTCATCATCTTTCCGAGGGATCTCTACGATGGGGCTTCATGGTTGCACAGGGCTGAGGTGGTGTGAAAGCAAGGCAGGCTACCAGGGTCCTCGCCGTTGAGGTAGTGTGAAAGGAAAGAAGGCACACAGTCGAGGTAGTGTGGAAGCTACCAGGGTCCTGACAGTTCTGCACCCTCTGATCAAGCCTTCGTCCGCAGTCTGAGAATGCAGGGTGCCTGGGCCTGCTTCTGGTTCGTTCTTATGTTGCTATTATTATTATTGAATTGAAAAGAAGTTGGGGGAGTTCATGGAGGTTGGAGATTGTGGCAAGCCGATTGGAGAGGGATTTGACATTGTTCATTGCTGGTGTATATCATCATCTTCTTCTTCTTTAATTCTTCTCTCTTCCTCTTCCTCTGTCTATTTCTCTTTCCGAGTTCTTTCATTTCAGTCGCAATTGAACACCATTGTCTTTCTTTGAAATATTGCACTTCAAGATATCCAGGATCATAGCAAGTCTTTTCTTTTTTCTTTTTGTGCTGGGGCTGTTCGTAACCCACTGTTAGACCTTGCCTGCGACCTGGCCCAGAAGGGCCATCCAGGCAGCCAAAGTTGGCCACAGGCCTGATGTGGTATCCCAGGTTGCTACAGAATAGCAAACATCCGTTCATTTTACTGCGTACGGCTTATCTGTCAGGGCCTGTTTTTAAAACCTTCTGATGGCGAAGTCCACTGCACGCTAATGCACATTAGTGGATGGCGAAGTCCATCAACTAAAAGAGCCCATGCGAAACAAACGACGAAAAGAGCACACAGCATCTTATCTGCAGTTCTTCCTTTCCTTCCTATTGGCTTTTCAAAGGCTTCTCTTTCCCTTCTCCTTTCAGCTCTCCCTTTAGTTTGCCTCTCAGGTGCAAGCCTCTACACATTTGGCCTATGATACTGTCGGCTACATACGATGACGGTCGTCAGTCATTTCAACTTGACCTTCTAGTCAGTATACGCAATGGCAGCTGACAGAGAGCCTAAAGGCATACTGCGACTAAGACCTCCAGACTCCGGCGCAGAGTGAATCTGGCCTTAAAATTTGTGCCTCCTACATGCAGTAGTCCTCGTGTGAGTATGCTGTAAGAGAGAAGACTGCTGATGGTTGACCAGGTGCCCTCAGCATCTCTTCTCCCCCAACCCCCCCCGGCCTCTCCTTCCAGCACCTTCCCCCCTTCCCCTGATCGCCACTTTAACAACTGCCTTCCACAGCTGGAGCACTGACGTCCTATTCCCTTACTCCAGACTTCAGCATTGGCACCACTCTACTTTCCTCAGCTGGAAAGGTAATATGTGATGTTGGTTAAATGGGTAACACTCATGTTCAAAACTAGGCCCCATGGCCGGCCTCACCTTGCCCATGCACAACTGTCAAAACTCACGTTTTGCCCAAAACAGCTCATCATTTGCAAAAGATGTGCAAGGTGCAGGCAGGATTGGACTCGCAAGGGGAAACACTCCAGTCTTTAGATGCCGTACTTTATTTTCAGCATTGTTACCAGTGAGAGTGCCCCAGTATGAGGCTCCCTGCAATGAGTCACGTAGTAGCCACCACACTGAACATTCTTTGGGGAGGAAGAACAGAGAACTAGAAGATGGAAGAATTGACTTTTGGCAGTAACCATTTCCAAAAGTGAGGGAGAGAAACAGAAAAAGAGAGAGGGAGGGAGGTACACAAAATTGAAAGAATTTTGGCAGCAACCATTCCTAAAAGCAAGAAAGAGAAAGCGAGAGAGCGGGAAACAGAGACACACACACACACACACAGAGAGAGAGAGAG